GGTAAGAGCTCGGTCGTCGGCTTTATTATATTAGTATAGAAGATTCATTAATTCTATAGCGTATGATCTTGAAAGTACACGAGTAGCGTTGTACTCGTGGAAGTGATATTTATTCATAGCTAAAACAAGCTACGAGTATAAAGTAAGATTAATGCGCCCTTGATATAAATAACCCCGCCAATATGCAGCCTCACGCTTCACTACACGTTGATTGCTTTCTTTTCATCGCCGTATACAGTATTGATTATAGGAAGATGGAGAGTTAATCATCTCTTAAAATAGAATTTCGATTTATTAAGAGTTAAAATGAGTTGAGAAATATATTTATATACAACCTGTAATCTTACTTCTTACTAATATTATAAATGCGAAAGTTTAGGTGGATGGATGGATGTTTGTTAGCGTTTGTAGCCTAAACGGCTGACCGGATCTCCATGAAATTTGGCACAGGTTTAAAGCATAGTCTGGAAGAACACATAGGTTACTTTTGATTACGGTTCCCGTGGGATTCATTAATTTAGTTTTTTAATGTTTACTCGATCATTCTGCAACGGTTCAACATATCTTATTGAAATTTGGCACAGATATAAAACAAAGTCTGGAGTACACATGAGAAAAGCTTCATCCCAGAGAAATGTCCGGTTCCCGAGGGATACGTAGTTTTTGTAATTTATATAGTTCGTATGTTTTCTAATACCACGCGGACGAAGTCGCGGGCAACAGCTCGTATTCAATAAGTCATATCTATCGCTAGCGACACCATCGACAAAATAGTAGGCTAAGCGTTCAGTTAGATTATTTTCTTTATGTATACCAAATTTCATCCAGATCCATGAAGTCGTTCTAAAGTAACGTGGTAACTAACACCCATTCAAACTGTCGTACTTATAATATTAGAGCGGAGTAAGATGAATGTGGAGGGATATGTCGGGAGGAGTATAGGCCTAGAGAGACGCATAGCGTAACTGGAGACTTGATTAAAAGAGTGTCGACTGCAACGGCAATTAATAATCAAACTGGAATATAAAATTCCCCATTAAAGTAACATTTTTGGTAATTATCGTAATACGTGAGTTAGAATATAATTTAAGGTCAATGTCCTTTAATATTCTTAAAATAAATCATTCACGGCTCCGTTAGCTACCTGTCGCCGACAACGCCCTCTGTGATTAATGGATTCGATACCTTTCAATTCAACAAGTACGACAGAACGATCACGATGACTCGCATGTTAAGATACATTTATGGTACCCTAGTATTAATCTCCGCCCAAAATATCACAAAATGAATTAACATTTCCTTTGTCCTATAAAATATATCGTAACTAGTGCGATTTTTTAAACATTAAAAATGTCCGGTCTTCTTATAAAAGGAAAAAAATCAGTACTGAAATAACATCTCCGATAAGTTTTGTACTGCATATCGTAAGATTCGTAGCAAAAATATTTCATATCCACTCCGCATTTTATGAGGTGAGGTTTTCCTTATTTTTACGCTCCTAATATTACTACGTTTCTCTCTGAGGTTTGTCCGCTTTCATCTACAATATTTCGACGTAAATATGAGGTCAAGATAAGACAAGGGTCGAGTGTGTTACGTCACAAAGGTGGGCCTTCATAAGGGTCATGGAATTGCGTTTCATATTTCGCAGATTTCTAGACGTAATTTCTGTTGAAGTCAAAGTCAATTTATGTTCTTTTTTCTAAATAATTGTCTTACACGAAAATGTACTAGTATATTCATTTTGTTGATATAATCCGATGTTACTATACTTATACATTTTAATTTAATTTAATGTATTTTTCTTCCTTTTAATATTAGTTAGATGGTTTTCTGTACATTCTTGAACATTATAAGCGTCCTGTAAATGCGTTTAACCAGAATGTAAATAGCAGAAATATTTGCATCAAAGAACCTAATTTCTAAGTAAACTTACTTCTAACAAAGGTAAGTCCAAACTCTAAACTTAACTCTTAGTTGGAATGGCGAGGAGCTTGGAATTTCACCGCTTACTGTAAATCTAAATAACAACTTAGAAATATTTGAGCTATGTTACGTTAATCTGATTATATTGCGTCGTTAAAAAAAATTAACGGTATCCGGTTATGTCTATTATTTACTGAAGTGTCATTTAAATTAAAACGCATTAGAAATCTACGACCGCGTTAAAAATGGAATTTTGGAAAGGAATAAAAATGTTTAAAATTAATAGTACAAAGTAGAATTTTAAAAAAGCATCATCGTTCGCTTGAGATAAACATTTTAAAAAAAATTATTCCCACTATTTGAACATTTAAGTTCCAAATCATCTAAACATAACAATGAAATGCTATGAAATTAGTTGTATTTGATATTTTTTAAATCGAGCATTAGGCTAACTTTTAAAATAATAACGTTACTAGAATTTAATATTGAAACGTAATTTCGAATCGTTAGTCCATAAATATAAACAAACTAAAATATTACATAGCCAAAGGTGTTAATCTAATTTAATCTGTAATTCCAACGAGCATGGTCATCACAATTTTATCTCTGTAATTATTACGTTGTTACTTACCTTGCTTTCCCGCGCAGTTTCAAAGTTCCAAGATGACCGCCGACGTCCGCTCACCAAATAAGCGTGCCGCGTTCTGTTGATGCCATGCCACCCTCGGTTAATGGCGACGATATCCAAGGCGCACGCGCCAACCCTATGACGTCAATGGCTCCGTTCACAAAGCATACAGGTGTCGGCGTTTTCGGTATCCATTAAAATACCGCATTGATACAAACGTGGAACATCCATCATGTTAGTTATTTAGGTTGTTTACATTTTAATTTCAAAGCTTTATTCTTAACTAGCTTTCGCCTGCGACTCCGTCTGCGTGGAAATTAAAGAAAAACATAAGCGAGCAGCTTATGTGTTCTTCCAGATTATCCTCTACGTCTATGCCAAATTTCATTCAGATCCATTGGATTGTTTGGGCCACAAACTCTTACAAACATCCATCTATATACCCATCCGTCTAAACTTTCGCATTTATATTAGTAAGAAGAAAGATAGTAAGATTTAAAAATATTACATAGATGTATCACATTTTTGGGTGGTAAAACCATAAAGCAAACATCTTGAAGATGTTTCTGATTTTATTTTTACGGATTTAAAAGGCTACTCTAGTGTTTAATTTCTTAAATCAGAATTTATAAATAATTTAAAATAATGTTAAAACACATATCCAGTAATAAAATAAACTGCACGTGTAACCGCTTAATTAAAAATAAAGTTAAATTTAAATTCAACGTCGTTGTTAAATCAATGAATTGCTAATTAAGTTGGTCTAAGTAGGACTGAAAACTTACTTAGAGCGGAGTTCATTAGCGCGCTTATTGAGAGCAATTGCAGTACCTCAATATAGTAGACGGAAAATAAAATAATTATTAAGTACATATTATTGGAATCTAGCAACCTGCAACGGCTTCGCACGGCGTGCTGTTACTAAAATGTGTTTATTTACGACGCATAATAATCGACCAGATTAATCGTATATTAACCACAATTTGTATTTATCTTTTAGTTGGTATAACTGTTATTGTAACTGTTAATCTGTTATTTTTCAATAAAATTATTTCTATTTCTATTTCTATAAGAAACCTTTTTAATTATCTGTATTTTTCTACTTATAGATGTATTTAACATATAAACCTTGGTCTTAAAGCAAATATTTATTGAAAATCTGAATCAAAATCTGTTACGTACTTTTAAAATCTAAGCATACTCGTAAATAGGAACAGACAGCGGGAAGCGTTCGTTTTATCTATACTAATATTATAAAGAGGAAAGATTTGAATTTTTGTATTTTTGTACATTTTGAAATAACTCAAAAACTAATGGACCTATTTTAAAAATTCTTGCAGCGTTAGAAAGGTACTTTATTTGTGGGTAACATAGCCTATATTTTTTTTAATTTCACGAGGGCGAAGTCGCGAGCAACAGCTGTATATGTATAGTGATTTTCTCGATAGAATAAATAAAATTAAAAACTTTATAGATGTGTCAATTTGTTTATTAATGAAACGTGTTTGATCATGTAATAGGTGATGTGAAAATTTGGTGGTGGTTTATTAATGTATTGATAAGCACGCACTTTCGCATAATGAATATGTACACATAATTTTACTTCAATATTTAATATAAATTGCGTACATTGCTGTTCATGTGCTTAAATTATTTTAATAAAATTACTACCTTTTGCCTTTGACGTCGTTCCGTTAAAACTAAAAAAAAAAAACATTAGCAAGTAGCCCGTGTTCTTCTAGACTATTCTCTACATATATGACAAATTTCATCGACATTCGATTAGCAGTTTAGGCTACAAAAAATATATAACGTTTGTAAGAAGTAAGATAAGGAATTATAAACGTGATTCATTTCCCTCAATTTCAATAAAATTCGAACAGATGTTTTAAACACCGCCTTTAAAGCTTTCCAAATATAACCTCCAGGTATTTGTAGATCATAAGATGTCTTTGTAACCAAAAACAAACCCTCTTTGTTAGTCAACCTTAACAGACAGATTTAGATACGATTCCAAGTATATACCTTTGTTTTATCAGAACAATAAATGTACCTACTCTCTTATAATACAGAAATAACTTCAGAAATCTTTAAACGAGTAAGGCTTCTGTTTCATTTTCTTTAAATAAATCTTTAATTAAGCAAGGGTAGAAATAATACTAAACAAATACAAATTCTAGTATTCTTCAACGCATCTCGTATAATAATAACCCAGATGAATAGCTAAAATAAAGGTTTGGCAGGTATTTTCACATCTTTATTTTAAATACATCGAATCTAAGATCGCTTTCCAACATTATTAAGAAAGAAATATAATTAAACACAAGTGTTTTGCCGGTGGAAGAATGGAATCAATCCTTTTTTGGGGTTTGTGTCAAAAAAATTTAAACACTGAGAACGATAACAACATAACCTAAAAGCCAGTTGACAACAACTGTCAAGTCAAGGTAACATTCAATAATCTGTATTTCTGCCTCTGCGTAGAAATGGTTATTTACAAAAAAAATACTTTTAACAAAATAATCATTAAAATTAATAGTTTTCCATTTCATGAGGTAATTTTCGTTTGCTTTATCATCAAAAAATAATTATGTTTTGCTAAAATTACTCTAAATAGTCACACGGCCACAGAAAATTTATAGTGAATTCAGTTTTCGAACTATTCGTACTGTAGAAATTTTGATATACTTTATAATAAGTTTTATTATTATTATGTGCATTACTTTATTAAGAACCTTTAGTTCGAGAACTAATTTATTCATTACCCACAGCATGGCTATGAGACAATCAAGTGACATGGCTAAATTCAAGGAAACTTTGAAAGCCGCTAAAGAAGTTGTTATCCTATCCGGAGCGGGTATAAGTGCTGAATCTGGTATACCTACGTTTAGAGGCGCTGGTGGCTATTGGAGGAAATATCAAGCATCTTCTTTAGCGACGCCTGAAGCATTTAGACATAGTCCTAGTTTGGTGTGGGAGTTTTATCATTATAGAAGAGAAGTGGCTGCCAAAGCACAACCTAATCAGGTATTTACTGTATTTAGTTGTAATTAGATAAATCTACTAATTAAATGTGAGAATATACATAGTGTAAAAGTAAAAAGAATAATAGGAGATAGTATCCTAATTTTTCATTCAATACAACTAAATGTAAAACTTTTGTGGTGTGTTTTGCCTTCCAGGGCCATATAGCTATTGCCTATTATGAGTCAACACATGAATCAGAAAAGAAAATAACAGTAATAACACAAAATGTAGATGGTCTACATGTCAGAGCAGGCACAAAGAATCTAATAGAATTACATGGTAATCTCTACAAGACCCGTTGCACAAAATGTAAAGAAGTTCTAGTTAATAATGACAGTCCAATTTGTGAGGTATGTTATAGAATGGCAGACAGAAACATTTTATTTCCTGTTCATAGAAAGCCATAAGTCATTGTTTTATTTAACATATAATATTAGTATGATTATGCAGTTCACACTTAGCTAGAACAGTTGGTCAATAGTGTGCTGTAACTGGACTGTCAATACAACTTGCAGTGTGAATGCTAACTGGCACCAGTGAGTCCATACAATCTGTGACTGGCCATTCCAATTGCCCAACTATACTAAGTGTGAACTAAGTATAAGGAGTAGATCAATATGTATTTTGTACAAATAAGTCAAAATATTAATAGTGAAATGCAAGTAAATTATTTATTATGTGTTTTCAGGCACTTGCAGGTAGAGGGGCACCTGATGTAAATGTTGTGGGCTCAGATATACCAGTCAAATCCTTACCACATTGTAAAAAGTCAGACTGCGGTGGTCTACTAAGGCCACATATAGTTTGGTTTGGCGAAAGTTTGAATGCAGCTGTTTTAAATAAAGCAGGTAAAAAATTGAGAGAATTTAGTGACTGAAGAAATATTATTGTTTTTAATTTATTTATAGTTGAATTACAAATCTATTCTATGATTAAATTGAAAAGAAAATAATATAGAGGCATAGCATACTAAACTTGACAACTGATATGTTCTTCAGAGAATGTATCTGTGAAAACATTTAGTTCACTATGTCTATTTATTATTAATTTATTGGCTTAACATTAAATATTTAATGATTTATATAACAAATTCTTATTTTTCTTTATAGAAACAGCAATGGCGACTTGTGACATATGTTTAGTGGTTGGTACATCATCTGTGGTGTACCCGGCGGCCATGTTCGCGCCGAAAGCCGCCGCCAGGGGCGCGGTAGTCGCGGAATTTAATTTGGAACCCACGCCCGCTACTTCAGACTTTCATTATTACTTCGAAGGACCATGTGGTACTACATTACCTAAAGCCCTGTTTGATTGAATTTTTTCTATATTTCCAGTATTTTAAACATATTTGATGTTATTGCTAGGCAGTAGAAAATTATAACACTATTCCCGCATATAGAACAGAAAACATTTTTAAGGGATTACCCGAAACAAATGTTTTGTTTATATGTTACTACTTATAAATATAGGAAGGTCAATAATACTAGATCCTTGTATATATGTAAAAAAAAATTATTTATTGTTTTAATTATTAAGATAAATATTAAATAGTTAAATTATTGCATTAATTCTTTTGTTTCATTTCCTTATGTTTCGAGAAAAATCTTGCAATGCTTCCTATCGTTTGTCCAAATGTGCATCCGGTTAATAAGGATTTCTGGAATAAATCAGAATCAAAAATGAAAATTACCTTCAGAAAACTTGATAAAAGCAATAAATAATAATAAAATCTAGGTAAGAATTTTACACATACAGTTTGAATAAAGCACAATTTCATTTTTAACTCAATTTGCTTTAAAGTAAAGACATATTTTTTTTACCACCAGATCACAAAGAGCAAGTGGCCTGAATCCGCCAAATTGGCGAAGCGACCGCTGCCCATAGACATTCATTACAGATGAGTTGCCTACGCTTAATCGACGTAGGCGCACAAACAGAGGTTAATTCCCCTTCCTGTTTCCTCCACAGTCAAACCCACTCCCAAAGTAATAAAAAAAAATTAGTTCTCTGATACCAATTATCAAACAAAACATGGAGTTTCCAATTGACGCCTGTCTTGTTGGTCATGGTATTGAATTAAATATATATTTCTAATTTTTCTTTAATTTTTTTTTATTGTAAACATAATTTACCTGAACAAAGTAGGGTAAAGCAGCTGTAGTATGAGGTCGTGAATATCTTTCATCAACGAGCAACACGCAGGCGTAGTCGCTAGCGTGACGCACCGCGCGACCTGCAAATCGTACATATAAATGAGAAAGGTTAGATGGATGGATGTTTGTTAGAATTTGTAGCCTAAACTGCTGAACGGATCTCGATGAAATTCGTCATAGACATATAGGATAGTGTGGAAAAACACATGGGTTACTGGATTTTTTTTTATTTATTTTCATGCGGACAGAGTCGCGGGCGAAAGCTAGTATACAATATTGCTCGTGACTTCGACCGTTTACATTAAAAAACTAATGAAAAGTACATCCTATATTACTCAGAAATAACGTAACTTATTAATGGCAAAAAAAAAATTCAAATTGATCAGTAGTTTTAGAGTTATTGATACAAAAATACAAATCTAGGAAAGATTTACAATATTAGTATAGATTGTAGATTATAAAATCCAAGATAAAAAATGGCGGATACATATAAAAATATTTGCATCAATCATGATAAATTTCTATAAATAATCTTACTAATATAAATGCGAAAGTTTAGATGGACGGATGTTTGTTAGAGTTTGTAGCCTAAACGGCTGAACGGATGTCGATGAAATTTGGTATAGATGTAGACTGGAAGGACACATTGGCTTCTCACTTTTGTTTTATTAAATTCTACGCAGACGGAGTCGCGGGCAAAAGCTAATAGGATATTTACCAATACACTGATTGACAGCTTTCATACACAAATTCTCATAGTACTGATTTCCCGCAGCATTTCCTATTGTTCTGTTCAAATAGTTCATTTTCTCTTGTAGTTCCGGTGATTTCACATTGGGGTATGGCATTCCGATAACAATCACACAACGACCTAAATCATCACTGAAATAATACAGTAGAGGATTCAAATTTCCTACCCACATTTAAAAGTCAAGTAACTAAGTTGTTTTTTTTTTATCTGTTAGATGTATCCAAATGGGGAATGAATTTATTTCTTTAACTGTCAATTTAACGTTTGTAGAGCAGGGAAATTCTATTTTTATATATTGCACTAACTGTGTATATGTCCGTGAGAAAACAAAAAATTAATAAATATGGCCTAGCCTAGAATTTTGGAGTAACAGTAGTTTTTGAGTTATTTCAATACATTCAAAAGCACAAATCTTTAGTCTTCAACATATGAATATTGATATTGTAGATTTTAATATGTGAAAATATTTATTTCAAGTCTACAAAATAAGATACCGTTTTAGGATACTTTTAATTACTATGCATTTGTATTTGTAAAACTTAAGATAGTAAATGTTATAAGTATACCTAAAGTTAAGTCCTTCGCTTAGTTTTCCTCCAACTACACTTAGCAGTAGAGCGCCGGTACGATCGCCTTCTCTTTTTCTAACAGCGGTGGCGAATTTTTGTAGTACCTGGAATTAAGTATTTTACATAATTGTTAATTATGGTAAACTCGAAACACAATATTTGTAAGTTTTTTGATGTGTTTATATTAATTACTAGCTGTTCCTGTGCGACTTCATCCTCATGAAATTATGAAAATTTTAATTTAGTATTTACATGTGTCAAATTATCAATTGCAAATGTCAAAATGACATGACATGATGACAACCTTGCTTCCTTGATGTTGGCAACTTATGGTCTCTTTCCCACATTAGGGTTTTTATCCAAAACATTTACCCCCTAAGATTAATGTTAAAATTATAACCTAAAACGTGACGCAAGTAGGGCTTTTTATTATAAAAAGCATTATTCAAAAACTAATAAAAGCCTAAAATCTTTTCAAAAACATTTATAATATGTAAGTAACATGTAGTTTCAGAAAAAGTGTGATTTTTTTGTAAAAATGATATTTTTAATACTAACTTGTTCTACTTCAGTGGCTGATTTCGGTTCTCTGAATATAACTTTCTTCTTACTAATGCTGTCAATAAACTTGTTGTTCAACAGATGTTGGTACACTGTTAGCTCGTATGCGTACGAAGGCAGGAAGCAGACGACGCCGCCGGGCACTATACTACTTACATTACGAAGTAACCTGCCTACTTCGTTCAACTGAAAAGTGTAAGTTAGTTTTAAGTAATGGTTTTATTTAAGTTAATTAAACAAATGAACATAGTTTAGTAATGTTAAAAAGAGAAATTTAAATTGGACTTCCATTATTATATTGACTTGAAATCAAATAATTCTGATTACATTTTAAATATTAACTCCCTTTCGTCCGCGACTCCGTCTTCGTAGTATTAAAAGTAACCTATGTGTTCTTCAAGACTGTTTTACGTACAAATTTCATATATTATTTAGCAGCTACAAACATCCATGTAAGTAAGATATCTCAATAAAGGCGATATAGCTGTTAATTTTACTAATATTATAAATACGAAAGTTTAGATGGATGGATGTTTATTAGTTTGTAGCCTAAACTGCTGACAAATTTCGATAAAATTTGGCATACACGTAGAGTATAGTGACATATAGGCTACTCACTTTTGTTCTTTTTAATTACACACGAAGTCGCAGGCGAAAGCTAATACAATATACAACGAAAAAGTAATTTTTTAACAGTAACTTTATACTTACCAATTCATTAGACATTCTGTTTTCATAAGAGAAGTTTAAGTTACCATTAGAAGGTCCCTTATTTAAGCAGACAGCGAGTACATTGTCTTCCGGCACGACGTGCGCGCATTTCACTATATTCACTCTCTCTACCGTCCTGTTGTTTGTCAGCAAACTTTCGAACTCACTGATCGGCTCCATTGTACCGCCGGCCAATATTACCTTAGGTAAAATATGTACAATCGGGGAATTTGTTGGTGGAACACTTTAAAAGTTTTGTAAGCATTCAAACGACATCTATCTATACTTAATATAATAAAGCGTAAACACACATTACTTAGTTATGTAGGACTAGCTTTTGCTCGCGACCTCGTCGCAAAATTAAAAAAATAAGACCATATAGCCTCTGTTACTTACAGATATCCTAGACAGATCTTTTTAACAGTGAATGAATTTTTAAAATCTGCACAGTAGTTTTTGTGTTATTTCGATATATACAAAAATCCAAATCTTTTCTCTTGTTAACAAAAAGCCCGAAACTTACATGTTACAGGCTATACGATTTCCCGCTATTATTTAGGGGTTAAATTTTAAGTTAGTTTTAGTTTTGGTAGTCATTAGAAAAACCTTTAAAAGAATAATTTGAATTTTGAATGAAATTTACAAATTATAGTTTTACAAATGTAAACAATAAAATACATTTTCTGTTTTTTTTTATAATATAAGGTGGCAAACGAGCAAGCGGCCACCTGAATCCACCGAAATGGAATGCGCTGCCTACTCTTGATTGACGGAGGAGGAGACGCACATAAAGAGGATATTTCCCTTTCCTATGCGTCTCCTCCACCGTCAAATCCACTTTTCCTTCCCATCCTTTCGTCTTAAGAAAAGGGTATAAAGGGAAAAGGACTAAAATTAGGCCTCCGGCACCACACTTATTAGACTGTACGCGGAATTGCTTACACTTCACGCCTGTTTTCTATGTGGTCGTGGTATTACTGGGGGCGAGCCGGCCTTGCAGTGCGAAGATGTTAAAGCTGGCTCTACCACTGTTATGTAATGAAGAACAAGAACAACTAGTAACCTTTAAGACTTCTATTATATATATCTATATCCGCTAATAGTGGTAGAGCCCGCTTTAACATCTTCGCACGAATTGGCCGGCTCGCCCCCAGTAATACCACGACCACACAGAAAACAGGCGTGAAGTGGACGCAATTCCGCTTTTCGTCTGATGAGTGTGGTGCCGGAGGCCTAATTTTCTCCCTTTCCCTTTCCACCCTTCTCTTAAGAGGAAAGGATGGGAAGGAAATGTGGATTTGACAGTGAAGGAGACGCATAGGAAGGGGAAATATCCTCTTCATGTGCGTCTCCTCCTCCGTCAATGAAGGGTAGGCAGCGCATCTGCAATTGCGGATGTTTATGGGCAGCGGTCGCTTTCCATTTTGGTGGATTCAGGTGGCCGCTTGCTCGTTTGCCACCTTATATTATAAAAAAAAAATATATTAACCATTCTAATACTTACAGATCTACATTGTGAGACGATATCAGCAAAATGTTCCGCTGTATTTAAAAGTAAATATTTCAACTGTGATGTATTATCTTCTGCAATTTGTATCAAAACTCTGCCGTTCTCACTGCGGTCACACAACATGTCTAAAAAGTCCAGTACAGCGTAAAGACCGCTTCCTGCTGATGTTTCAGTTGGCAACTGGAATGTTTTTAAACTGTTTAACAGCGAAATAACGTTAAAGTTACGATATAATCTGTCTATTGAATAATTCAAATATATTTCAATAACTAGCTTTCGCCCGCGACTCCGTCCGCGTATAATTAAGAAAAGAAAATAAAAGTGAGTAGCCTATGTGTTCTTCCATACTATCCTCTACATCTATGCCAAATTTCATTAAGATCCATTCAGCAGTTTAGGCTACAAACTCTAACAAACATCCATCCATCTAAACTTTCGCATTTATAATATTAGTAAGATTAATATTATATGTGTTGATAGTTAATATTATCATGTAGTTTTATAGTCAGGACAAATAAAAGGCTGAAAATATTTTTTTACCCTTTTTGCTCGCACATGGTCTTAATATTTTCTCGAAATTTAAAAACTAAAAATTTAAAAATGTATCTGACTTTTAATTTAATCATATTGGTATACCTTTAAAAAGTTCTTTTTAATCTACACTATTATAATAAAGCGTAAACACAGACATTTTTTGTTGCCTAAGATGTCAGCAATTACAGCATATTATTGAATAATTCTTTTTTTAATAAAAAGCCCTACACTTACGTCACGCTTTAGGGTTTATATTTTCGCGCCATTAAACTTTGGGGTAAATATTTTGGATAAAAACCCTAATGTGGGAAAGAGACCATAAGTTGCTGCCAACATCAAGAAAGCAAGATTGCCATGGTTTGACATCATGTCATGTCATTTTGACATTTGCAATTGGTAATTTGACAAATGTGAACAATAAAATGAAATTTTTATAATTTTATGCGGATGAAGTCGCATAGGAACAGTTCACTAATATGTTTATTACCTGAGATGTCTTAACTTCTTTGATTTCCTCAACAACTTTATCATCAGTTTTCTTAATTTTACTAATAAAATTTTCAAATGAACTCTTCTGATTGATTGTTTTCCTTTTATTTTCCTCTTCCAAAACTTCTTGAGTATATCTCATCGAAAATCCATGTAACTTCGGCGCGAGACGCGTCTCTTTACAAAACTCTACCAAAGGACGTAGGTTCAAATGATCTATTTCTGATTTTATAACGAAATCTTCGAGTGTATAGATTTTCGTATCATTCTGTTCCTTTTCGATTTTCGGTTTTAATATACCTGCGTAAGAAATACAAATAAAACATACAAATTGGGAACTTACTCCCTTTTGGAATTAATTGTCATACGAGCTGTTGCCCGCGACTTTGTCCGCATGTTATTAGAAAACATACGAACTATATAAATAACAAAAAGCTACGTATCCCGGGAACCGGACATTTCTCGGGGATGAACCTTATCCAATGTTTACTTCAGACTTTGTTTTATATCTGTGCCAAATTTTTAATAAGATATGTTGAACCGTTACAGAATGATCGAGTAAACATTAAAAAACTAAATTAATGAATCCCACGGGAACCGTAACTATTCCCGGGATAAAAAGTAGCCTATGTGTTCTTCCAGACTATGCTTTAAACCTGTGCCAAATTTCATGGAGATCCGGTCAGCCGTTTAGGCTACAAACGCTAACAAACATCCATCCATCCATCCATCCATCTAAACTTTCGCATTTATAATACTAGTAAGAATAAGATGTTATTGAAAATTGTATATTTGAAATGATTTATCCCTTTAATCAGGATAGCTTACAAAAAACTTATGAACTTGGTATACAGAGTTACTTATTTTTTTCTTAACAGTGTTTGCTAGTCGGCAAAGGCCTCCTCCAACATATTTATTACTTTGGTTTCAGATTCTTCTGTATTTGTTTTTTTTTGGTCTATTTTTTCTTGTTATGTGCTTATAAGTCTAACTACTTTGTGTATAGTAATAGAGTATATTTTCTTATATATAATATATACGTAATTAGGTTTTTTATAATAGCTTTTTGCCGATTTTTAAAAACAATATCACTACTTAATTATTATGATTTACTAACAGAGTAACTTACCTAAAAGTTTGCCAACAACAAAATTCATTTGATTCAACAACAAAAGATTCTTGCTGTTCAATCTAGCTCTGTATTTGTTGATATAAAAATTAAGGTATGTTTTCACTGATGATAATTGTTTTAACGAGACGGGTGCTGAATGTGCGTTTTCTAAAGCTGCAGTCAAACCATGCGCTTCATCTAGTATTAGAATATTATCTTTTAATTTAATAGAGAACCCAGATCGGGCACCAGAATTAACAATACCAGCATGGCTTAGTAAAACTACCTGGAGACAAACATGAAAGATTGAGTAAATTTTGCTTGGAAAAAAGTAAATCCCATCAAAAATGAAATGTAAAAAATGCCAAGGCTCGCAGTGTCTCTTTCCTTACAAAAATTGATGAGATCTCATATAAACTCAAGCTGTTATTTTAGTTAATGACTGAATACACTTCAGTAATAATTTTGTTGAAATATAATCAATTACCAAAATATAATATCAAGCCGAAACTGACAATTGTCAGGACAAACGTGACCTAACCAACAGAGAGACAGACAGACAAAAGGTTTAAACATTGGAAGTTTGTGGAGTATGACTTTGTTTTATCAATATCACAAACAAACATACAAATTTTATTAATTGTACTAGCTTTCATCTGCGACTCTGTACGCGTGAAATAAATACACTGAGTGGCCTATGTGTTCTTTCAGAGTATTGTCTGCATCTATAACAAATTTCATTGAAATCCGTTCAGTGTTTTAGGCTATAAGCTCTAACATCCATCCATTTATACTGTCACATTTATAGTATTAGTATGGTTAGATATAGATAACATACCTGAGCGTCATCAAGTGCCATTCTTGCTGCATAATAAGGACATGCCTTTAACTCTTTCCCACATTTCACTAAATCCTCCATATCCATTATATCAACTAGCAATCTTTCCTTTAACTTTGTTATGTTGTTCTGATTGTAATATGGACATCCCGAACAAGATTTTGTCTTCGTTCTCTTAAGGACTTTACCATCATCACCTACTGATGTTGATTTTGTTTTACATTTTTGCATATCTAGACATCTGGAAATCATAAATTGTGAATGTGAATTTTTGGGTGGATGTTGGATAATAACATATCCAGAATGGCTCAATATATTTTAATAATAGTAATTTTATCCATACAGAAGGCAAACATCCAGAATAGTTCAGCGGATTTTGATGACATTTTACATCTAAGTCAATGTGTTTATAAACAAAACATGTTGTAGAAGAATGCGAGGCTAGTAACCAAGTTTTTGTTATTCCATGAGCATCCATCTATAATTTCTATAAAGAATTTAGAGCACATGACACCCTTGTAAATTATCATGCCCAAATACTCAAATTAACCTAAAACATTTTTCTTCAAATGTGTGGTTTGCAATTTGTCAAAAATATATTTTTTAAATTAAATATAGAATTTTTTCTTTTAGGATTAAGCATCATTTCATTTTTTGGCTATTAGACATGTATATATACTTTAATTTAGATTTTTAACAAATGGAATACATATAAATTTTACTGACTGTTGCTCGCAATTTTGCCTTTGTGAAATTAAAAAATATAGCCTATGTTACTCACTAATAACATAGGTTTTTAATGATGAAAGAATTTTTGAAATAGACCCAGTAGTTTTTGAGTTATTTCAATACATACATAAATACAAAAATATAAATCTTTCATCTTCATAATATTGGTATAGATACAATACCTTTCATTTATTAAATTAACATTTTTCAGTCTTGTTACATCAGAATTAATACAATAATGCTGACGAGATGCTAATGTCACTACTCGGATACGTTCTTTGAACACAGTCCTTTTAACTTCACCAATAAATTGTGACAACTGACTGTGTGTTCTGCTACTTATGTAAATCTGCGAAAAAAAAGAATATTTTAGTACTCATGCTTTAACTAACAAAACTTGCATTTTTCTGTTAACTATTGTGCATATATAAATTTTCATTATGAAATACTAACCTTAACTGCTAAATGTTCACTTTCTTCATTTAAATCATCATCCAATTCCTCATCATCTGATGAGTTTTTATCACAAATATCCACAATTAAGTCATCATCATTCCCTTCAGTCTCCAGAATGTTCTCCTTATTTACATCTTCTTTGTCTATTTTATTAGAATTAGAAAATTGGTTTCCGTTGAAGTTATTGTTGCTATTAGATTTCTGTTTGGCAACTCTATTCTTCATTTCATTGAATAATTCATCTTGTTTCTTGATTTTATCAAGTTTGAATTGTAATTCAGTTAATGTTTGGTTCTTTTTAATCTTATCATATTCTGCTTGCAGCCAGTCTTCTGAATCTGCAAATTACAGATTAAAACCTCATATTGATGTTAAGTTGTTATGTAAAAAATAAGTTGTAAAAGCCTGTTTGGCTATTAATACCTGTTAGATTTTTTAGATCCGTTTTAATTTTAGTAATATCGTTCTCAATATCCTGAATTGTTTTTTTTCTATTATCACTATACCACTGAAGAGCGCCACAACAAATACTTAAAGATTTGCCCTGTTAATGAAAATTAATTAAGTGTAACCAAAAAAATAAATCCAACGTGATATTAATAATATTAAATTTGAATTACTAACGGTTCCAGTAGGACTTTCAAAAATACCCAATTCACTGTTTTTGATTGTAAAATATAACTCCCTCATAAACTTCTTCTGGATATCGTAAGCTTGAAATGGGAATGGAAAAACAGGATTCATATCTTCCATACTGTATTAATACGACCATGAAATCAAAATAGTTTGACACTAATGACAAAAAAATTAGAAACACATTAATCATTTAGAATTAGAAACGGTAAAAATAAGAAGGAAATAAACACGACTATAATGTTTTCGACTTTTTGACATTACAATTTAGATTTAGTTTTCGCGCGCGACCTGCTGCCAAATTTGACTGACATGACCTTGACAGTTAAGTTAACGGTCAGCCACAGATTAAAACATGTTGTACTACATGTAACATTGGTTCATTACTTTATAACCTTCAGTACCTATAAAAACGTTCTTAATTTAAGACTTTGCATTTGATATATTTTGATTGCACAATACCGGACATTGAGGCAATCCATGGATGAGGCCTACTTTCAGCAGTGGACGACAAAGAGGATGTATGAACTATGATGATAATTCGATTGATTCATATTTGAGGTACATTTGATGTTAAGAATACCAAAAAGGAACCAACTAAGTTTGTAATGATAAAGTCAACATTTAGAAACTGTTGTAACTTTCTCTTGAAAATGTAAACTGCTTAACTGCTTAATATAAAAAAAAAAGTTTGTATTTATACTCTGGGTATGTTTTGACTATTTGTTTCTCAAATGTCAAATACGTCTATGTTATTACGTTTTTTGACACTCCCGATTTCTGTAAATGTAAAAGTTATAAAATAAATCAAGTATATTTACGTTTCTATAATAATAAAACAACATTCCATTATTTCCATTATTATCTAAAATTGCTACTTCAAGCCGCACAATTAGTACTAAAATGTCACATAAGTATGAAATTTAATCAAATTAACTTTCTAAACATAATAAAGATGACTGTTTTGATTATTGTTATTGTTGCAGTATTAAAATTTTGCCCGGTGCTACTGTTTGCGAGGATTGTACGTTAGAAGGAGATATAACCATAGGCGGCGGAACAGTGATTCATCCCAGGGTGTCTATTATAGCTGAAGGTGGACCTATCATAATAGCCGAATATTGTATTATTGAGGAATATTCTACGATTATTCACAAGTAATTAATATTTTAAATCATACTCTGTCTATTCAAGTCAACTATGTTTGTTAAAAAACTAGCAGTTGCTCGCGACTTCGCCTGCGTGAAATTAAAAGTAATAAAAAAACATAGTCTATGTTACTCACTGATCTTTCTAACAGTGAAAGAATTTTTGACATCAGTACAGTAGTTTTTGAGTTATTGCAATAACATACAAAAATACAAAAACGCAAATCTTTCCTCTTTATAATGTTAAATATAGAGATTATATTTTACTCTGCCTTTTTTAGTCAACCATGTAAATTAAAAAAGTGTTGAATTTCAGAAAAAATGAGCAACCAGAAAATCCACTGAAGCCCCTTTTCATAGGTGCACATAATGTATTTGAAGTCGGATGCAGACTGGAATCATTATGTGGTCACATTGGTGAAAGCAATGTGTTTGAATGTATGTCTTTTGTTGGTGTTGATGTCAAAATTGGCAGCGGATGTGTTATAGGTATGTAAAGAGCACCCTGTATATAAAACAAACTTTTAAAAATAAAATAAGTGATATCAACCCATTGGACGCTAAAAAAAAATTTGTCATTGAATGGGTTGATTTGTTGAATAGATTGTGGATTGTGAAATAGTAAATACTTAGATAAAAGAAAATTTGTCAGAAATTTAATGACTTATGTTTTTTATCATTAATAATAACTTTTGTTTCAATTTATAGGTGCATCCTGCAATTTGAATGCACCACAAACTTTACCAGATAATACAGTTATCTGGGGTTCGGAGCACAATTACAGGGAAGCATTAGAGAAACAACCATCTCAACTACTCCAACTTGACTTTCTAAGCAAAGTGATGCCAAACTATCACAGACTAAGGAAATCCAATGTGCATAAAAGGCAGATGTCAAGGCAATCCCAAGAAGCAGCAAAATAATTATTCAGTAAATGAAGATATTTTAAAATGTAATTGAGCCTTTATATTTATTTCTTGTTTGGAATCAACTTATTTTTTATTTGGCTTACAGGAACAGATGCAAGCTGTTGATTCTGTATTAAATTTTGCAAGTCTTTATATTTTAAATATGCCTTTATTATATATTATTTCCACGTAACTAATCTTTATATTCAATAGATTGATAACAGTAAAAATTTCAAACTTTCACATGGCAACATTTTATTGACATCCTTATAGCGTTTTGTATAATAATGATCTACGATTGATTTATAAGTTACAGATTGTTCCTATAAAGATGGTTTTAGGTGTTTGTAATGAATAAACTTCCTTTTAAGAAGAATGCCACGCCACACTTAAACATATGTTCAGATATCGTTGTCCGAATATTTTCAACAGAATGAAATGTTGCTAGCATTTATGCTAAAGTACCAACATCATTCTACAATCCTTGAAATTGTAGACGGAATATTTAATTTTTAATAAAGTCTGTTAAACATGAAAACCATTCATTTAATTTTGTACATGGTTGTACAGTTTTATCTCTGTGTGTCAAGTTCCTATCCAAATAGGTTCAAATATTTACTAAAATAGCATTTTGATCTGTGGTACTTTGTATTCTTAATTGGGCTACCGTAGCGCTGCAGTCGTACGTGACTTCAGACGGAGTGTTGCCAATGCAACGACATTTTGCCGTCTTCTAAGCATAAAGCCTCAACCCTAGGGCCTAAGCAAATTCTATGGTATTATTAAATTTAAATTGCTGCACTGTGAATAATATTACGAAAATACCGTTTAAATGATAACTAAACAAAAACTGTTATCGATTAAAATGAAGGGTGCCGAGGTTAGTGCAATTTAATATTTCTTAAATATCTTGTGACTTTTACAAAACAAAATTAGAACTGAAAATAATTCATCATTGTTAAAAACATTAAAATAACGACATTTAGCAAATATTGAAAAGCTTTCCTTTATAAATAGTGCCGAGACCATCTATAGCTTTTCCCATACTGATACGGCTTTTTTTACACGATATACATGATCGGGGAAAACTTTTCATTGGCAACACGGCTTCAGGCAGGCCTAATTGCGGCCTACTGTCAGACAACAAAATAAAAAATATTACGATGTCGCCTTGGACAGACATTCATCGATTTCTATAATTTGGGTTTTAATTATTTTTACTTCGCGTTCAGTAATCTTAGATTTGGCAAGTTTCGTTGTATGTGAATGTACAGTTTTTGTTCAATTCAATGTTAATTTCACTAAATTCTGTAAAGTAGAACATAGCAAATTTGTTAAACATTATCTTATCAAATTAAAGGTATTAAAGGCTGTGAATACACAAATCGTTAGAGTAAATTAAAACTAAACAATTAGTTTCCGTAGTTTACAATTACGACTTGGTAAAACGAGGATAATGTCTTGATGCACCGTATCGGCGCCATGTTGTCATTTAGTTGAATCAACACGAATCCTGTTATGGGTGTACTCTTGTGGTGTTTAATTAGTGCGTGAGCATGTTGGAAGATGTTCCTGTCCACGGTAGCCGGAGCGATCTTAGGAGCCCCAAGATCGCGACGCATCAACGGAACCTCAGTTTGGATTTCAGGTATGTCACTTTCTATAAAGTTTGTATGTAAATAATTGTTTTTATACAAATATGCAATATCAAAAGTAAAAGTATAACTTACGAAATTAAACTAGATAAAAAGATCTTCACGTATGTTTGTTACACAAAACATACACGTAAACAACCTTGGAAATCATACACAAATACTGAATTACATAGATTTCTAGATTTAGGTTGTTTCTAACTTTTTTTTATTTTATTACCATCTAAATACTTCTTTAGTAAGATTTTGTGATTATTCTTTGATAATTCAAGTTAACAAAATCAACTTTCTATTTACGCTGAGACTTAATCAATGTATCAAAACATTTCAATAAAAACATTCCCAATTGAGCTCAAAGTTCATAATGTTTGCTTACTATTTCATTTGTCAATTGGTTATAAACTAAGGAATTTTTATTGCTATAAACTTCAATCAATGGCTTTGCAGTAATGGGTACTAAATTTTCAAAGCTAAAAATTAAAAAATAATTGTAACATTCCACAACTTGCTTTGAAAAACCAAAATTAGTTTTTAAAAAAAAAATTTACTGTTTTAAATCCAGTCTTCCTATTTCCGGTTCTATACATTTCCACAGTCTTTAAAGATAATATACATTAGAATGTATAGAATTTTAAAGTCACTTTTTCATTGGATTACTGCTTTTACTAGAATCAATTATGAAATTAAATTTTATTTCTATTCCGATGAGGTTCTAGCATTGAATTATTGTAGAAATATTTATCTACTGCTATCAAATTTTAATGTCTTTCATGCTGTACATCTTACTACTTCACTTCTTATATTATAAATGTGAAAGTTTGGATGTTAGAAGTTTTCTCTAGAATCAACAGATCCTAATTAAATTCGGTACAGATGCTACAGAAAACATAAAGTCTGTAGTAGAGTATTATAATGCTATAAATTGCTAAATTGACAAAGACCCGTGGTATTTCTAAATTGTTCATCTTCATGAACAGAAACACTGTGTGTTTATCTCATTTGAGAGAGATTTCGATGATTGCTTCATTTCTCCCACTGTTTGATCCTTTTATGTTATTAATCAGCATTGTATTTTACTTGAGTTTATACCATGTTAATGTAAAATATTCTGTGTCATGTGTTTTGAAAATTTTAGTGTATGCTGTTTACAGTAGCTGTTTTATTTGTTATACACTGGTTGGTATTGAATGTTACAGTCATTATTGGTTAATTAGGTAGTTAACAAGATGTTGATTTAGTAATTATATATGCATTAACTGTGTTTGTTGAAATAATGTACTTTCTTTGCTAGAAATTAATCTATTGATTTTTTAATGGGTGAATGTTTTGTTTTTTGCCAATACAGCTATCATTATATTAGTTTTTAAACTGTTTAAATAACATTAATTCTTTTGATTGTATTTTATGTATATTTAGATAACATTATTTATGAAATTTTAGAAACATCTATACTTTAAGAAGTAATTATTATTACATAGCATGTTTTGTAATTCTCACCACCTAGCATAATTTATTTAAATAATGTCTTTTTTTTCAAAAAAAAAAACTAATATAAAAATTTTTAAACACAATTTTACGTATAAAGTTATAAGCCAAAGTATTAAATTTGATCAAAGGCGTAGTAACGTCGTGTTAATTCGCATCGCATTCCGTACAATCTGGGGCATGACGGCATGTCGAAGGTTCAAGTAAACACAAGCTGTTAGTATCTGGGACACTCCTCGGCCGCTCAGGTGAATGGACGCCGGCGAAAGTAAAAGTGGACGCCGGAAAGACTGGCCCGGTCTTCTAGACGTGGATGCTTTTGCCAACCGCACAAAGAACGTTTAATTAGTTTCTCTCTTGGTTTAGGCAAGTTGGATGATGAGGATGTTGATTCTGATTAGATGTAAGTTGACATTTTTGTTTGTTTTACAAAAGAATGTGCTCCACGACGCCTTTAACAAAAACTGCAGATATGTTTCCGGCATTTGAACAAGAGATATGCTCGCTCCTTGAAGGACTCTAATTCCCATTGGTTTGGAAATACCGTCAACAGATTTTGTACACAGTTAGTTCGTCGATTTCTTGATAAAACACAGACTCACTCGAGGAATGTTGAAGCTTTTGTTTTTGGACACTTTGTTTCTTAAAACGTACCGTATGCAGTACGCTTTCGTTGTGTATTTGTAGCGGATGTTTTTGCTGACCATACTGGATGAGAGAAGTAAGTTTCTTTATTGCGGCACTTTCATATCGCAGAAACTAGGCAAGCTAATTATCCTAATTAACGGACGCGTCGGCCGGACGACTAATGCGTTTTAAAAGATTTTCTTTGCCATGACACTAAATCACTTTGTAATTACTATGTTGTAAATGATGTTTGTTTATAATCCGGCATTGAAATAAAATTTCTTATGCACTTTTCTCAATGCTCTTCAATTAACTTAAAATAAATGTAGTAAGGTTTTTAATACCAAATATACAGATATTTAACGCCAAATAAAGCATAACATAAACGATTGTATAAAATTGGGTTTTGTATTTTCCCTTATTTTAATGTCAAGCGAACTTTTCTGTCCCTATTTATGAACAGAGGAAAACAAAACTTCGTATATAAAACGAGTACCGTAGTATTACTTGCCATTAGATTTGGCACGTCTGTAATTAGAGTACTCTTATTCCCGACGAGCTAACTCAAGCGTTTAATTCGTAAATCTAGCTGATATCCGATCCATTCGTCATAATATTGGTATTTTAATGCTTCCTTATGGTCAGTCTAATTGCTTAATCAAGTTAACATTCATACACAGGAAGCTGTGTAGCCAGCCGCAGCCCAACCGTCTGACTCATTTATGGTGCCATTACAAAATCAATATTTACTTGCTTACTAGCAGTTTAGGGCAATCTTGTGACTTATCGCTCCTTTTACTATACTTCGCAATACTTTATAGACTGAAAATAGTTACCAGTTTATATAAGTATCTTTATTCAAGGTAATGGATATGGAGAAATGATCTTAGCTTCAATGGAGTGATTTTTAATAAGAATCAAATTTGATTGCTGTTTTGTAAAATATCAGACATTTATGTTTATAATATTGCTGCTTACTTTAAAACATTATACTACAATAATTTGTACTACATAACACTTGCGGGGTTTCCCACATATTTTATTTTCAAGCCCATGGCTTAATGCGCAGTATTTTTCATTGCGGCTATTATATTAGTGTCTGTTTGAACAAAAAGTTCGGCCTTTGTCATAGAAGCTAGCCACCATTACTAATGGTTTCCTTGATCGTCTCTTTTCATTTTAATTACTCGTCGACGTCTTCAATTTATAATCTGCGCGCATCGTAATTAGGATTACCGGTTTTTGTGAGCTCCAATGTTTTGTTTCAGCGTTATTGAACGACCGACGACCTTACAAGAGCATTTTTTTCTGTTGTGATGTAATATTTATTTATTCTTAGATCCGAGTTACACTAACTACCAGGCCGCGTATAATTATTTATATGTAGTTGCGTTTTTCCACTGGCGCGATTTCGACTCCTGTGTAAAATTATAGCTGCTAGTTGAATCGTGCGGTTAGTAGCTAAGTGAAAACAGATACTTAATCTCAGAAGGACATATATTATATTTTGTACCCGTAACTTTAATACAGTGGAAAGGCTACAATAAACGTATGTAGAGCAAGTTTTATATTTTTATAAACTGTTATTGAGGTATTGAAAACAACTTTATTTTTATATTGATTGCTTGTATAGTTTTTATTATTCCAAAACAATATGGTTGCATTTTATCTGCTTGATTGTATAGAAAATATTCTCACCGGGAAAACCGTGTGAGGTAATTAATTTCTCATAAGAGCACAAAAATGTAATTACACTAGGAAATAATCAACGGTATTTCATGGTTATTATTTTATGACCACTTTTTATTATACAAGGTTGACAGAGTAAATGCATAAATTACGTCTGGTAATTGTAATTGTGAAATTCGACGAGATATTGGTCTACAGAGCCTTTTTTTGTAATTTGCAGTCAAATCAGGTGGAAGGACAGATCGTAAATTAAAGAAACATGTAACAAGAGTAGTATTATAGGGCGAATTAATTGTCAAAATATATCTTTTTTATTTACTTTGATGACTGGATTTTAGTGTACTTATTGTTTTCTTATTGTTTGTTTTTATATTAGTTTAATTTCGATTAGAATCTTGCCATTTAGTGACGAGATAAAGTAGCATGATCTTGCAATGTATAGTCCATCAACTATTCCTTATGCATCAATTTGCCATCTCTTTGTAAAGTTTCCAAAATTTGATAAGTAGGTACAAATGTAACAATAAAAGTACAGTTACTTTAAATAAACAAATCAATCTTCTAAACACACTGCACACCACACCCTTCTAAGAAACGTATCACTTTTATAGTTATAGCCTTTTAACGTTCCTAAGAGATATAAAATTGTTTAGAAGTCTATCGCTAGGCGTTGGCTAGAACAGACTTCGAATAAATGGGATAGGTGGGACTTGTGTTATTTACTTTTATTATATTCTGACGATTCCTTCGAACGCCACTGGTTGTTTACAATTATGTTAATTAAATGAACACGAAGGTACATTCCTTATTAAAGTTTGACGTAACGTAAGCGCGTAATTGAGAGACTGATTTGCAATCGATTTGATCTGAAACAATTGATTTAATAGATTGTGTACGACCTTCTATTTGGTATGTTGCCCAGTGTGTGATTATTCTTCCGTTAGCCAGCAATATGACGTCATAGTATTGCAAGATGCAAACTTGATGAGGGTTCGTGGTTAGCTGTAAACGTATGTCTTCTAGTGTTGCTATGTGAACCCATTGTACTCCATCTAAGGATAATTTGCACACAGGTATCCCCTGATCCATGTCACTGTTCGCGACGATGACACTTTAAAATTGTATTTTACGCGGCATGGCGTTCGTTTCGAATCGTTATAAAGTTTGAATGGCACTATAGCTTAAAATTTGGTGA